GTTTAGATATGTACTTAAGACCTACAGTATACAGTGTATGATATTCATATTGTTTATAGACTAAATTCCTCCTTGTGATTAAACTCCAACCCCGCTGTACATCACCAATCAATCTCTCCATCAGGTTCCTCGCTAGGTGGTAAACGAGTCAGTAATACGTATCACCTTACTGAAGCTGGGTTGAGGGGCCCGCTCAAACAGGTATCACACACGACGTGCACAGAGTTTTTCCCCTCACTCCCCCTTTTTCCCCCCCTCTACCTTTCCCCCCTTTTGCCCTCTACCTTTTCCCCCTTTTCCCTTCCCTCTCCCTCTCTCTCTCTCCCTCAGCTCCGTGTCCCCAATTAGGTTCGCTCTCTGTCCTAATTCCTCGTCACCCTTAGATGACACCACACGTCCTTTCCCCTGTCCCTCCACCTGTCTCACCTTCGATAGATGTTTGGCCACTCCACCTCATGCCAGTTTGCAAGCTCAGATATGACCTGAGTGAGGCCACACTCGATAGAAATAGATGAGTAGCCTGTTTGTTTATCTCTAGTGGAGTAGATAGATGTATCTGGAAATGTCATGGCGGGCAATCTGCCGCTCCCGAGTGTAGTTTTAGATACACGGAGTTGTTTCAACTTCTCACTGCCAATCCATGTAAATGATCTGTTTGCAAGCCTCATTATACTGAGGGAAGCACTGAACTGCAAAACTCTGTACGCATATGGAGAAGCGTATATACATATATATATATATATATATATATATATATATATATATATATATATATATATATATATGTATGTATATATGTATGTATATATATGTATATATATGTATATATGTATATATATGTATATATATGTATATATATGTATATATATATATATATATATATATATATATATATATATATATATTATATATATATATATATATATATATATGAATGTATGTAAGTGCGTATGTATGTATGTATATATGTATATTTGTATATATATATATATATATATATATATATATATATATATATATATATATATATATAAATGCGCATATATGTATATATATGTACGAAAGTATGTATACACATGTGAAGTTCATAGGCAGTTCCATTGCCGAGAGCCAGAAAGCCGACATGGCTTCATATTTCTTTGAAGCAGCAGAGAGAGGAAAAGCTTTTTGGTCTGAGAGCCTTTTTTTTCTCTTTCCACCTCAAACCCGTGTAATATAGAGGCTAGTAGAGCTAGTCATAGTAAGTGAGCAGCTAGCAGAGCTTGTTAGTTAAGACTATGAATAGTGTGAAAGTTTCACTGTAGTTATAGAACTTCCGGCTGCCATGTCAAAGTGGCAGTCATTTACACAAATATAAAACTATTCCACTGGTGTCCACAGCGATTCTGTCTTCCAATTTCTTGAGGATCAACCGCCAATACAATACAGTTTCACAAATTCATACATGTATTCTGATATACATACGAAGACAAGAAATATTTGCATATCATATGACACATAATATGACAGGATTGATATACTCTTTCCTGGACAGAAGTTAACTATCTACTCTCGTGCAATTAAACGATGATAAACTGCGGTCACGTGGCCATATGTAATGAAAGAGGAACCTTAATTTGACCTGAAGGATTATTGCAAGAATTGTTGCAACTTCATTCTAAATATCTAATGCACAGACCTATATGTGTGTTTCCATACTTAGTAAATCAGGTATTGAAATAAATGGTCTACCAACAGATAATAATATCTTTACTCGTATTATTGTTGTTGTTGTTGTTTTTAAGTCAAAGAGAGACTCTACCATATCCTATCGAATCACATACTTGTTGTTTAGGTGAATTTCTGACCCTCACACTAACCCAGCCTTTCCCTTCTAACACACCCTAACACAGGACACACCTTGCCATCACTTGTACAATTGATTCCCTTTGCTCAAAGAAGTACTTGCTCTTTTAAATCTATTTGAGATCATTATCTTTATCAGCATTTCGAAATATCTTCCTAGTCAGAAAGTTATCAGTCCCCTGTGCAGTTTGTGAGTAATTATGACATTCACAAACTGAAGTGGAAAAGGATATGACTTAATTTTTTGAAAGCATGTTTCTCTTACAAAAAAAGAAAGAAAAAAGAAAAAGCATGGTTGGCAATGCGGCAAACGCACAGCTTAATTATTTCATCGCTTTTTTATGTCTATATTTCTTTTTGTATTACGATGTAACGAAGAAGAAAAAAATATATGTCACATACTAGCAGAGGTCAGCGTAACTACAGTAACAACGGTAGAAACAGCGAATTGAAATAGTCATTATTCATAAGGACCAGTATGTGCCGAAAGAACTTTATAATAATCGCCATGAGCGGAAAGTCCTTCAACAAAGTTTTCGCTAACTTTGTGCGGTTTCGAATAGCCTCGACAAATCTAGTTTGGCCGAAGTTGGTTCCATTTACAACGTTAAGAGAAATAACAATAGGCATGGGAATTGTTGTGATGATAATCCTA